TACCATCAAAGTAGTTTTTCTATGAACATTATGATCAATTTTTGCTTTACATTAAAGGCTATAATATATGAATTGATGTAGGTAGTGAAACAGTGACGTCTGCATCAATCTCTGATAAGATTTATATAGAACTTATGAAAGTAATCTCGACTCGAAAAAATTTTGAGAAATTGTAGTATGATCATTAAATAAAATAATAATTGATCTGAAGCTTTGATATTCGGCTGTAAACACATGTTGCCTTGTTTCATCACATAAATTAGGCCTAATCCTGTTCATATTACATTCTGTTCGATCTGATGCAATTTTCATTACAATCATTCACTTATAAGTTAAACATGATGAGTGTCGTAATGTTGTTCATTCTGTTTTTATATTTGAACATGGACTGACTTAAATCAGATAATATTAATGCAACCGGAACAATCAACCTTCTTGTCAATATTGAGTAAAAATATAACTGAACATAGTAAATAAAATGATTCGATTGTCATAATGAACGTGGTGTGGGTGTGGAAAGTGAGGGTCAGGAGAGAACGCACCCACATAACCACATCGACACTCTTCCACCTGATATTTTACATGCAATTTTTTCTCATTTGACAAGACTTACTTTTAGGAGATAGAAGGATGGCATTTTCTTGTAAATTTATTAATAGTTTAAATTCTTGCCAATTAAAATTCTGAATTTAATGAATTTTTTAAATATAAATTGATTACTCTTACTAGAAAACTCAAATGGCCAGATAGTGTGCTCTTAACTGTTTGCTATCAGCTTTACATTTGTTAGGAGACGTTACTTCTTTCGACATTGGGAAAATAGGAAATTTTTTGCTTAATATCCCATCAACATAAAATAGTAATATGAAATGTTAGATAGTTTTCTTTTAGTTTTTATTTAATGTTTTAGTGAAACAGTTCTCTTCTTGATGTAGAGTATCTTGTGACAATCAAAATACTTTCATCGACCTATGCGACTTAAACCATTATGGATTGATTGAGAATCATGACAAACAGAAAAAATTGAGCAAGCTGAATATTTAGGCGACATTTGTTTTGATCTTTTATTTTTCTAAGTCTGTATGAATGATTTACGAAAAAGTCGATATTTACAGTGTAACAAAAGTATAATGAAACATATATTAGAGGCTAATTTTATTTTGTTAGAACTCTAAATTTTTGACTGCACCAAACTAGATTCATGAAACATACATTTGGGGTCAAAAAGCCTATCGTACGATATTTGAAAAACTTTAATATGTTCAGGGGACTGCTGCACAACTCATTGACTAGGTGAATTTTATATAATTTGATAGATTTATTTGTTTTCTTTACGAACTGAAAATGTCAGCTCTCTAGCTACTTTCTTCTGATGTAATTCCACTTGCAGTCAAGTCTACTGTGTTTTCGAATGAATGATAGACATATAACATTTTGTCGATACTTTCTATTTTTGACATCGTTCTTTTGAAGCAACTCCCTACAACACACTTTTATATATTTACGATTAAAAAGCTTTTTTAAAATGTCTAATATTCGTGTAAAACATATATCTGTTAAATAAAAAGTATGAAAGAATAAATGTCCTTCCAAACGAACATAATGTATCGTTTTATAAGAAAAAAAACAGACAAAATTGTTTTTCACTTTATACTTGTATGTGTAGGGTGAATATACATAATTTCTATTTTAATATTTTTCTTTCTCCCCCTATGAAAGAAATGCCTTAAGGCACTTGAAGAATACGTGAATGTGATACGATCGAATATAAAAGTGGGCTTTTTCGCATGCATAGCGAAGAAAAGTTAGGCTTCATTTAGTGACTCATGATTATGTGTCAACCTATAGTAAAGGTAATGTCGTCGCTTTTTTTTCTTATTATTCTATTCAAGAAAAATTAATAATATTTGGAAAAAAAAACGATAAACTTATAAACATGCAAGTACTAATTGCTTATCCATTTAAAAGTGAAATTCGTGATCGTCATCAATTAATTTATTCACCAGAACTAGTTCAGGATGAACTAAGTCTTCGCGTTGCTATTCGTCAACATCGTCCTCATGTTATTATTGTTGGAAATAATTCTGTTGTAAGTGAAACACTAGAATTATGGCGTACAATTATGGGTGATGATATTAAATTAACATTAATTCGAAGAGGTTCATCACTTTCTCGTATTCATGTTGATCGTGCTCGACAATTAAACATAAATGTGCTAAATACATTAAGTGTAAATTCTCGATTTGTTGCAGAATATATGATTGAAAATCTTCATTTACCAAATGATGGAACTTGTTCAACGATCGGAATAATTGGATCAGGTGCCATAGGAAGTCGAATTGCTTATCGTTTATGCAGAGCTAAGTATAAAGTTTATGTTTATAGTCCATCATTAACAAATCCTGATGAATCTGTTCAATCGAAAATTCGAAAACGTAAAGGAATTGACTTTTCTGATATAAATATTTCTATGACAGCAGAACAAGCTGTTACTAATGCTACCCATGTTGTACTTGCTATTGATGCTGATCAAGTTAAAAATGTTAAAGAACAATTATCTAAAGAATTTTTTCAAATTATACCAAATGGAGCAAGACTTGTATCTGTTACAGAGTTTTGTGTATTTGCTCAAGGAGCTCTTGATATTCTTATTGAACGTGTTCGACAAGGACAAATCAGTGCTCTTTTAGATTCGCATGCATTTGATATAAGTACAATTAAAGATCCTCCAACACAATTAGAAACTGTATCAGCTGCTATGAAAGTACCCGGATGTGGTGAAGCTATGGATCAAGCTGCTCTTGTTGTTCTTGCTAATGTTGTACTTGAACAATCATTTAAGTCACCATTACCATTCTTCATTGATTCATCTAGAAAAAATGAAGAAATTACTGTTATTGGAGCAGGTATCATGGGTTTAGTAACTGCTTTCTTTCTTAGTGGAAGCGGTTATAAAGTAACTATTATTGATGAACATAACCGTCCTAATCCGCAAAATGAATTTAATCAACTTGAAATATCATGCCGTGGTACAACACTTGATGGATGTGATGCACGACATGCATCTATAACAGAAACAATACCGCATGCAGTATTTTATAGAATAGATAGTTTAAGAAAATATCCGTTAGATCATGGAGGATGGAAAATTATACCTGATCAATATCATTATCGAGAACGAGTATGGATTGAGAGATTTAGTGAACTTGCTGGCTATCCAGAATTAGTTGTAAATTTATTTAATCAATTTGTATCAAATATAAATAGATGTGGAATCGAATTATGGGAGAGAATATTTCAACTCTATCCAGAATTAGTTCAACATACAATTAAAAATCGTCGAATTATTCGCGTATGTTCATCATTAACTTCATTAAATGTTGTTTCAACATTTCAAAAAAAATATCATAAAAATGATGATAATCTTCAAATACTGTCACATTCACAAGTTCTTGAAAAAATACCCGGTCTTATACTTCAAGATGGCGATGCTGGTGGAATTGAAGTACCTGGTTTTACTGTTAATCATCTAAAACTTTGTCAAAATATGATTGAATTTTTAGAAAACAATCCGAATGTTAAATTTAAATGGTCAACTCAAGTTCGTTCAATTGATGATATATCTTCTTCGAAAATAATCTTGGCATCAAGTCTTAATACTTTGGATTCTCCATTATTAGATAATGTATCATTAGCTGTTCAAGGTGTTCTTGGATGTTGGATAAAGATTCCGAATGTTCATTCAATAAAAAATGGATTTAAAATAGCCGAAAAAGAGCCAATCGGTGTTATCAATGTAACACCAAGTTATGACGAACAACATTTATATGTAACAGGTGCATTTGCTTTTTGTGGTCATCGTGGCATTGTTCAATCACCTCATCTTATTCAATTAATTGAATTATTTCGTTCAACGATACGCTGTTATTTACGTGATGAAATGGAGGCAAGTGAATCAGAAATTCTTCCAACAAGATTTTGTATTCGTCCAATGACTCCAGATGGCATGCCAGTTATTGCTCAATTGTCCCCTGAGAATAAAAAGCAACAAGTTTATTTTGTTGGTGGAACAAATGCTGGAGGATTTGTTGAATCTCCAGTTTTAGCAACAATTCTTCTGGATTTAATTCAAGGTTCAACAAGTAATACGAATCTTTGCCATGTTTATAGATCTTTACGTATTGATAGAAATACTTTATTATTTAATTAAAATTCATTGAATGGATTTTATCAAATATGAAAATAAGCTCTTCTTTTATTTCTTATTTTATAGTACGTCAAATGAAAATGTTTTATTTCATTTCTAAATAAACATATTTCCTACTCTCAAATTAATTAAACCTAAATTATTATTGTCTTTTCCTTCTAAATGAACGTTCTTCATTGTTAATAACAGATAACTGTGATTAGAAATTTTTCAAAACACTGCATGCAAATTATCGAAAATATTTATCATTCAGACAAAAAATCTTTCCTTGCTATTAATGTTTTATTAAGATAAACTCAATCATACAGAAAACAAATTTATGGAAATATTTGATAGTTGAACTAATATCTATTTTAAAGCAAAAGGTGAATGAGTATTTTTAGAATAATTTTGGATAGGAACGATACAGAGATCTGCGGTTTCCACCGTAACTTCTCAGAAAAAGCAGATGTTCAAGTTTCAATGCAATTTCATTTCCTCTTTTAAACGGTGAAAACCACAGATCTGTATCTCATTCCTATCAAAAATACTCACCCACCAATGAAATGGATATTAATTATTATTACGGACGAAACGACTCTTTGATGTTTGCGGTTGAGATGGCGGCAAGAGTGCAGTTAAAAGGAAGACACTCATTCCTATGTTTCGAATTCCAAATTGCGAAAAACCTTGCATCATGACAAACTATGCAAATAAAAACTTTTCTCTTCAAAAAAAAGGGTCGATTTCCTCCCAAGAATTGCTGTTTTTTTTGCAAAGATTAAAAATTTTCGGCATACGTTAATGAGTCTGTGTGATTTAGAATAATGAGGATGCAGATGAGATCGTGGGATTCGAATGTTTCAACACACAAACGAAATACTGGCTCTTTGTTCAAACGAAGTCATTTTTCGAAACAAAGGTATATATATTCTATATGTTGACCAATAAAATATATGACTGTCTTCTTGACAGTCAACACCACCTGTACCATCGCCAACTATATCACCATATGTTACTCCAATAGTTATGTTCAACCAAGAGGACTGGTGCAATAAAACGGTCTCTCTATTGATTAGAGTTGAAAAATATTCAGACTATTTATCAATTATTATTGTTATTAATATAACCAATCTATGTACTAACAAAATGGCTTGAAAGAAAAAACAACTTGGTATATTAACATTCTGAGATGTGCACAACTCGATACCAAATCCGGCTACTTGTTGAAAGTCACTTCTACAGAAAATTTCATTTACTACAACAAGACAATACTTCTAAACAGCGAAACCAAAGTAATCGATAATTATCTCAGACTTTCTTCGAAAGTTTTTGGCTAATTACATGAATATAGGTCTCTATCGATACTTGGAAACAATTCTACCAAATTTGATGTTCTATAGATACCCGATCAATATCATTCCATAATCAAATACAGGAGTTCTGGAAAATTCAATGTTCTTCAGAAAATTGATTAACAACATTGAACTAAAGAATAGTAGTATGAATGTAACAGAATAGAATTCTATAAAAAACGAGGTTCTCTAGTTATTAAATTAGTGGCATTCAAAGATAACCATTACGTAATCTTCAACAATAGCATTATTGTATATGTGAGATATAATAAGTACTGAATAAAACCGAAGGCCCGGTAGAGATTGCGTTAAGTGATTTGAGGAGAATACTTCACTTTTTATAGAAGATTTCCATAGCAATTTTAATATAATAGCTTGTCGTGTAGAATAGGAAATAGTCTTCGAAAATTGGAGATTCTAGATAGATTGCTGTGTATGACTGTAAGAGAACACATAGACAAGGGAAATAAGAAGAATATCTGAAAACCTGAACTTGTCCAGACGAATGTCATTAGATGAATCAATCAGAATAATGATTCTTCAAAAACCAAGTACATCTCAGAAATATCTCGGATGATACAGAAACTGTATTAGGTGAATTGGGAGAAATGTTTCTTAGATCACGAAGTAGAAGTAGTTTAAGAAAATTTGACTTTGTAGACAGAATATGTGCACTTGTCCTAGGATGATAATAAAAAGCCTAATATAAAATGGATCTTAAAAAATGTTAGGTTATATAGCGATTTTGTTGGGTGATTTCGATAAAAATCATATGGTCTCACCAATCAGAAGTGGCTCAGAAAAATGTTAAGCTCTCAAGAGAATTTGTCGTCTATTCTGTAACTACAATGACAAGAGTGATACGAAAAGCATCTAAGAAAATTATGAGAAAGTACTGAAAGTTGAATTGGGTGCAGTTGTAGTTGAATTAAGAGAAGATCCTTATGCAAAAGCCATTTTTATACATATTCTGAGTCGTTATCATTTTTTCTTGCATTCTTTTTAGACAAAGCAAAAAAAAGTTACTTGCATCTATGATTAACAGATGTAAATAATAGAATATTCTCGTATTCTTAACGATACTGATAATACTGCACCATATCATCTTCCAAACAAGGTTTAACTTATATATAAAAAGAAGAATATTTAAACTAAATGAGAGTTCTTTGGTTGCAGCTAAACTTTTCAAGTCACCAATATATCAAATACAACTACTCGAAATACAATCTATATCAATTACGTGCATACATAATGGCTCAAAGAATTGAATCAAAAGTTGTACTTGCATCATCACCCAATGTCATCGATAATACCACGAGGAAATCCTCGTAGGCGTTTTTATTCAATCCTATTGATCAATTAAGTTCAAGTAAATTGATTGGTACAGGATTATGTTACGTTACTATTGGAGCTGTTTCTCTTGGATGTGAGGCTGCCATTATATCAAAGATAAGCAGAAAGTAATAGATACTTATAAATGACATGTCTTTTTCGGAGCATTTTTATCTGTTTTGTCTTCATAGTTTTCTTTATGAATTAATTAATACTCTCATTCTTACTGGCGCTAATTTGGTGACTCTTGGTATAGTCATAGTACTTTTATGTCATCAAGAAGTGTACGTTTTAACTAGGGTGTTTATTTTGAGCTTGTCGTAATTGGTTTATCTATTCAACGGATTGGTTACGTACAGTGCAGTGATATATAGATAGAACAAACAATGTGATACTTTCACGGCTTCATATTGTCAATAACCAATAGTAAGATTATTAGAAATTGTGTCTCGGGTTTGTCTTTGTCTTGACTTTTGCTTAACAATTATCAGCATGTATATTATCACACAAATATACTGACGTCAGTCTCGCTTCGGATCGCAACAACAGATACCCGTTACATATATCAAGTCAAACGAAACTCTTACCACACAGTGAAAACTTGTTGCACATTTAACAGTTCTCTTCGTCAGCCGAGACTAACTTTCGAATGTTCTCCCAAAAGCAAATCTGCAGGTCCTAAGTAACCGCTCCTGGTAGTTGATTTGCATACTGTATGTGCCTATGATGATAAAATGATTTTCATTATGAAAGTACCCTATATGAAGAAAATATATTATAGAGTTGATTTACATAGAACAAAGTCGTTAAGCGTATGAAGATTGATGCAGCTCGTTAAGTATCCATAGTTTTTTTTTCTTTCAACTTGAAAAATGTAGTACAATACAAATAAACTGGTAAAGTGACACTCGACAAGCATATCAACGATGTAGAATCTACCGAAAGTTTGGAAAACTACCCAAACGACATGACTTTTGCAGGTAAACTTTGCCTCTTTGAAGTTCATATATTCTTTATTTGTCATCTATGATACTACTCAGAGACCTAGAAATCTGTAAATTCGTTGTCAACAGAATAAGTAATAATGCGTTCTCGAATGACTTCTCTATAATTTTCCTAAAAATCAAAAATTCTTTTATACGGTGATTTGCGCAGATGAGTATACTTTGTATCTCTGGAACATACGTTGATAACGATATTGTGAAATTTTCGACACTTTGAGAATGTAGGTGTAGGTGTGGATGAAAAGAATATTCGCATTTTTTCGATTATTCCTCTGAAATGAATGGAATCAATAGTGAAAAGTATGAATCAAAGAGATTGATCACGTGTATACATCTCGAATAATTCACATTGTTTTTCACTATGAATTCATCTGAATGTAGGTTTATTAAAGTACAAAATTCTCGAACAAATGAAATCAATTATCGAAACTGTGAAAAAAAAACACAATGAAGTTCATGATTTTAATTCGAATTTTTTTTCTTATTCTCGTTCCATATTCCTTTTTTTTGTTGTTGTTGCCTTTTCTTTGATAGCTTCCGATCATTTTATGTGAAAATACAAAGGCAACAAAAAACAAACAACACTCATCAATAATCTATATCTTTAAATAAATACTCAACTACAATTTTATACAATGAACTTCTATATTGATGAAAACTTTTTGTATTTTTACTAATAGTTTTGTGTAGGTATTCCAATTGGTTTCTTTCATCATTTGTGCAGAAAATTATTGTTGAAAATAAGAATAAGCCAATGAAATTGGATTATCACATCAATCATTGTATTTCATTATAAACTTTACCGATGAAGAAAAACTTCTGCGGAATTTTTAATTAATTGAAGATAAATATTAAGAAGAACTATTTCAACATGTTTTCAACTAACTAATGAACTAAAATTAAAAAGAGACTTATTGTATTTGTCGGTTTAAGTTAGATGATATGGTCAATAAGAAAAAATCAAAGTGATCAGTTTAAATATTGAACAGTCAATTTATTGCATATAATTTGTAGTAAAAAAAAATGTGTGAGGTATGTTAACAAAAACAACAAATTCAATCAATGAAGTATGCAAATTTTATGAGTATAGAATATAATTTAGTATAAGCAAATTAAATCACAATAAGCGAACACACAGAGAATAATTAAGTAGAGTCTTAAAAGAACATTTAATAAGAATTCAAAAAGCTAATGAAAAAAAGTGAAAATTGAATTACTGTATAAGGGAAGCAGGTTTGACTTTTGCTGACTACGTCTTTTTCTTTTTCCATCGATTAGTACTCGCTTACAATATTTGAAAAGAATAGCTATACAAACAACGTATCTACGTAGA